TATGCTCTTTTTTCTTTCCGCATTTCTCTCCTTTCCTCTCATTTCTTTTTTTTCCTTTTCTTTTGAAGTGCTATGGATTAAACCCAGGCCTCGAACATGCTAGGCAGGCCAGCACTCTGCCACTGAGCTACATCTTCAACCCCAGGTATCCAAGTCCTATGGAGTTTTATATAGAAATTCTGTTGTTCTCTGTACAATAGATCCGTGTGACCACTACCATAATCCAGATACAGAGCTATTATACCACTACCATGAAACCACCTCAGGCTGTATGTTCCTATTTCTGGATTTCTAAACAAATGATGTTGGGGAAAATGGATAAACTTTTAGGAAAAAACAAAAAGAAATTAGATCTATTTCTCACACCATACTACAGAAAAATGTAAAAAATAATTATAGATAAAATTAAAAGACAGCTGACAAACTGGAAAAAAATTTTGCAAAATCGCCACACACAGGGGCAGGGATGGAACCCCACCTGCCTCACAAGCACAAGGTCCTGAGTTCGATCCTGGTACAGAAAAAAAGAAATCACCCTACACCCTTGACAGTGAGGACAGGATGCCCAGTGTGAATGCCATTCGCTACAGAGTTTGGAAGCTGTAACTCCCACCCTCACAACAAGAAAGAGCTAAACAAATGAAAACCAGAAACTTTTCTTGTACCATCAGAAAATGGGTTGCTGGGTTGACTATCGTCCGAGAGCAAAGCGAATCCGGAAACTCCCAACTGAAACTGCCTTGTCCAGAGCAAAAGCCTATGAACTGGTGGGACCCTGAGAGAGTCATTTTAACACTGCTAGAGAATGTGACTGGGATCTGCAGCCCAGGGAGGGAGCCCTGTTATCTGCATGAGTTTAACTCTAGGAAGCTTGCTTAGCTCTTAGATCTCACAGTGAAAAGCCAAGAAAGACTCCCTGTCCTGGATATGGCAGAAATCTGATATTCATTTATGATTGAAACACAAAACAAAATAAAAACAACCTTAGCAAACAAAAAACAGAGAAAAATGTCCTTGCTTTGATTAAGAATGTTACAAAAAGCATCCAACTAGCATCATACTCAATGGTGAGAAATAACATTTTCCTACTAAGATGAAAAGGAAGCAAGGAGGCTCTCTCTTCTTACCTCTCTTTAACATCCTGCTGGAGGTAGTAGCTCCTAGACTATGACAAGAAAGGCAAAGTGGAAGTATAGATTGAGAAGGGGGATACACAACTGTCTTTGTTTGATTTTTTGGGGGGTATGGGGGATTGAACTTGGGACCTTGAGCTTGAGAGGCAGGTGGAACCACTGAGCTAAATCCCCAGCCCCAATGATGTGATTTTTTTGGTAGAAAGCCCCAGGAATAGACAGACAGACAGGCAGAAAGACCAAAAAAAAAAAAAAAATGGAAAGGAAAGAAAATCCCTAGAACTAATAAGTCAGTTTAGCAAGGTCACAGGACACAGGTTAAAATATAAAAGTCAAGTTGGATGTGGTGACACACAACTGTAATCCCAACTCTCAGGAATGCTGAGGAAGAAGGATCGACGTGAGTTTGAGGCCAGGCTGGACTACATAGTGAGTCCAAGGCCAGCTTGAACTACATAGTGAGACCCTGTCTCAAAAACAAACAAACAAGCAAACAAACAAAAAAGAAAGTCTGCCAGGTGTGGTAGTGCGAGCCTGTAATCCCAGCACTTGGGAGGCTGAGGCAAGAGGATTGCTACAAGTTCCAGATCAGCCTGGGCTACATTGTGAGTTCAAGGCCAGTGTGAACTACATAGTTGAGACCCTGTCTCAAGAAACCCTAAAAAAGGACAAAGAAACAAACAACTGAGACACCAAGAAAGTCAGTAGCTTTCTTACATACTAGCAGTGTAAAGCCAGAGTCTGACTACAAAGATGCTATAGATTGGTGGTAGAGAACCAGTGGTGTACATTGTCATAGGCAGTTGTTGGTTATCACTGAAAGCTCTAAAATGTTTGCTATCACTTCTACTGCTATAGATTAGATATAGTTTATATATATACAATTTATAACATCATCACCTAAGAAAAGAAATAGTTAATAAGTCTAACAAAATAAATATAAGATATATATGTGGAAAATTACAAACTGATTGAAGAAATTAATAAATGGAGAAATATTCTGCATCCAGAGCTTGGAGGACCAAGGTTAAGATTGTTAAAATGCCAATTCTTCTCTGATGTATTGATTTATTGCAATTCCAATAAAAAAATTTCAGCAGCATTGGTATCGCTGATACCAATGAACTCATTGTAAAACTTATATGGAAAGGCAAAAACCCCAGAAGAGCCACTACAATACTGAAGAACAGTCAGAAGGCTGATGCTAAGATGTGTTATAAAGCTACTGCAATCAAGACAGTATGGTATTGGGGCCGGAGATTTAGCTCAGTGGTTCCACCACCTGCTTTGCAAGTACAAGGACCCAAGTTCAATCTCCAGTACCGGAAAAAAAAAAAAAAAAAAAAAAAAAAAA